AGAAAGGTAACTTGAAAATAAGAGCTCGGACCTGCACCGGGATGCAAAGGTGTCTGAAATAGAAGAGGCCGAGGTCCAAAGGAAATCATGGAATGCTGTTAGAAACAGCGGATCTATTCATCATATTCGTATTTGGCCTTGAGTGGGCGCTGAATTTCAGAGAGCAACGCATCGAGTTCAGCCCAGTTGGTGGAGTTCGTGGCAAACCGGCGATGTTTGCGAGTTAGAGTGTGCTATGAGATTCGTCAGCACTTATATCGATTTAGCAACAGGGAAACCTAGATAATACCTCTTCAAAATCGTCAAACTTGTCCCTGCAGTTCTCGCAATATCCAGGCTTCGGATCTCTGCGGCGTTCGGGTTTCTTTTGCTCGTCTTTGTCCTCCCTTTGTCGCTTTGACCCAGCCATCTCAGATTGCTTTGCTTCATCCTCATTGAGGAGAAGGTTGGGCTTTCCTGGGGGGTTGATGTTGTTCTTCATCGGAACTGTCACAAACCCATCCCCGCGGCGCTGAGGAGCAGCCATCGATCCCGCGGCGAACCCACCTGTCCCCTTCTCGAGAACCTTACGCTTGAGCCCATGAACCTCTTTGCTGAGCCCGGCTTTCGCGCCAGGTGCTGCAGCAGTAGATGAGATCATTTGTGAGCGGATTGCGGAGGTCATGTTCGACGGCTGAACGCCTGAGGCAGCTGGCTCACGACCAGTGTAGAAGGGCCCGGTGCGAGGGAAGTGCGGGGGAATGAAGCTTTCAGAACTCTTTCTTTCATGAGTTTCATCAAATGATGGCTTTTGGATTTCGTTTTGAACTGGAGGTGAAATACGCTCCTCTTGTTTCGTCAATGGCTGGGAATGTGCGATCTCTGTTGTGGTCACAGATTCGGGCGCTTGTTGGACTGGCACGGCTTCTTTTGGCTTAGCATCACGAGTTCCATCAGCCTTGTGAGAGGCAGCCTTCTTCTCTTTGTGGAGTTGACGTAATCGGTGTCGGTCATATTCCTTCCTGCTCGGGGGCTCATCTATGAATGGACACTTTCCGAGGGGAGCGCTTCGGAACTGTGGCCAAGCTCCATCCTGGCGTCTAGCGACTCGGGAGTATTCTCGAACCATGACTGGTTTGGTCTTCTCGTTCATGTCATGGATGTAGACAAATGGCCCTTTGAACATTAGCATTTCCATTGATGCCAATGGGTCACGATCAGAAGGTCCGCTGAGAAGTTCCTGGCGAAGAACCCGCGAAAGGTCATTATCGCCCCTGCCGTTGACGGCGTTACCACCAGCGGCCTTGCTTCGAGCAGCTTGTTCATACTGGGCACCAATGTCACTGTCATTGATGGTAATTATCATACGCTGGAGCTTTTCCAACGCCCAGATTTTCATTCCCATCTGCCGAGCCCTTTGCAGAATGTCCATCGTTCCTTGGTCACGACGTGTCTCGGTTTTCAAAGAAGCATGCAGGTGAGATTCGCCGTTTCTCTCTAGGAGAGAAGGGTTGACGGTTTGGACGTTGCTATCAACATTGCTGGCGTCTGCAGTTGACTCCGGTTCTGCCGGAATGGCTGATTCTGGGGGGATGGCACGCGAAGTGACAACGTGGGTCACTAGACGCGAGAAAAACTTCTCCTCGCGCTGCATTGAAGTGGGTTAGAGAAGATCCCAATGGAAGGTGTTTAATCATTGAAGACAGGAGACAAGAGGTGCAACCAAGAGCAGCTGGATGTTCTGTGGGCAATGACTTACAGCTCCAAGAGCAATGACCTGGCGAGAGAATCGCCGTCGCACATCTTCGGGGATGCTGTCGAAGTAAAACACAAACTGAGGGAACGCCTTCCTATAGTGTCGCTGCCATTGTCGGATGGAGTCCATGGTATCTGCCGGAGCCTTCTCGGCCTTGACATGCTTCACTTGAGGTTGGCGTTCCTTCTCCCTAGCTGCGACGAGCTTTTTCTCGAATGCGCTAGGGTTGCCGTTGTTCGATCGCCGCGCGAAGAGTTTCGACTCCGTATTCGTGTTCTGGCACGTGGTGGAGCGAGTCTCGTATTCCATGTTCTCCAGCACTTGTTTCTTCGGCGGTGGTTGTCCGTACGGGATCTCCATTTGAGTAGAGCGAGCTCTTTTAACTGGCAAGAGCCCTGCCCTGTGTGGAGAATTGGTTGCATTCGGCACGTTTGCGAGTGGACGACGAGTCGCCATGGCCAGGGAGTTTCGTGGCGAAGGGGGTACAAAGACAGTTGCCATTGGGAAACAAGTTCCCAGGGCCGAGAACGCGTCTAGATGCTGTAGAGTGGCAGTAGTCAAATGTCGAAGAGGGGTACTCGGTGAAGAGCACGCGTACTACACGTCTTTCGAGGGTTAGAGGAGATCAGAGAATGGACATTGTATCCCAAGAGACAATAGCAAGTAGCCTAAGGAGAGAGAAAGAGATTAAAGTGCTCAAGGGTGGGATGGGAAGAGAAAGACGAGGTAGAAGACCTGGAGGAAAGAAAGAAGAGCAAAGCAAGTCGTGTGGTGTGGAGCTCAGTTTGTTTTGGGAGCCCCGACAACCAACGGCAGCGCGCGAAGCATGAACATCAACATTGCATTCTTTGACCGCGACCAAGATTCTTTTCGAGCTTCTTTCCTTCTTTACTTCATTCTCGATCTCATTCTCTGGGGCTATTTGTCCAATGCTTCTCTTCTTATCATGCAACTGCTAAAAAAATGCCCAATCGTCTCCAACCACCCCGGACCAGCCCTCCGATCAGCCGCAGACCAGCCACCACAAAGTAATCTAGGCAAGGATAGTTCAACATGTAGATTATAGTTAGAGGGAAATAGGATAAAATAAAATGAAAGGGGCTCAGATTTAACGGTTTGGAGCCTTATGCTATTGTACATGGGAATTTGAGGGATCTGACTACCGTATACATCACATCTAATTTCGCAGTGCCTCAATGTCTTCAACCTAGTACAAGTTAGTGACGAGTAAATGCGGAGATTTTACAGTTTAAAACATACCTCCTTGACAGCCTCAGGAGTTAAAACAATCGGATGTTCGTCTCCAACGCAAACACTATCCTCGATGCGAATTCCGATCCCACGGAAGTGGGCGGGCCATCGTTCATCGTCAGGAACATAAATACCCCTAGCATAGATTAGCTTGTTTCAGGTCTGTGGGGAAGGGGCTAGGGACGAACGGTTCAATTGTTATACATTGACCTGCTTTCAGGTCGTAACCTCTGGAGTACCCAGGGCAGTCATGGACGTCCAGGCCAACATAGTGCCCTAGATGGTGCGGGAAGAGAATGTTCAATGCCTAGTCGGAGTCAGCAGCAGACTCCACAAGAAAGGAGTTCGGATGCATACATTGCCGGAAAGATCAAAGCCAAGCGACTTGAGCTCGTCTTTCAATCCATTCTCGGCGATGCCATGGAGTCTGTCTAAAGAAAGATTGGAGGTCTCGCGGCACAGAGAGAGACAGCTCCGGTGCACCTTGAGCACAGCATTGTACAGGTCCCGCTGGGGATCAGAGAACTTGCCATTGACAGGCCATGTTCGAGTAATGTCAGAAATATAGCTTCCCCATTCCTGCGATTTGGTCAGTGTCTTGGAACTATAAAGGTTGGGATCAGACAAAGAACCCACACCACCGCCATCAACGAGAACCAAATCACCATCGCTAAAATTAAGTATAAGCAGAGTCCAACAATAGTTTATAAAAGGCATACGCACTTCAGTACATCGTCATTTCGAGTGTAATGAATAGCCAAGGCGTTCTAGATGCGTCAGTACTGAGTTCAGCTTAAAAAAGTCAGGAAATTTACCTGGCCACCCGCGACAACCGGGACAAAAGCGTTGGTATCGCAACCATTCACCTTAAACTGGTACTCCAGGAAAGAGTAGAGGTCTTTCTCTCGCGTGAAGTCCCGTCGCATAGCCTCGGTGAAAGCTCTCCCTGACGCTTGTCCCAGCCGGCGCATCTGTACAACCTCATTCTCACTTTTGAACACCCTCATTTCATTGAGCAGATGCTTCAGCGGCCTGACCCTGCGGTGGTCGACGACCTTCTTCAGCTTTTCCGACGCGACTGTCGGTCCATACAGATACCGATTCAAAGATGATCTTGAGCCATCAAACGTGGGGATGTCCGAGTAAACCTCCGTCGCTCCCTGGACAATACTCGGCAAAATATCTCCAATGCGTTCAATGTTTCCGGTCTGTTCTCGGTGTCAGCTCGGTCATTCGTCTGATCCTTGAGCCAGTATCCCGCACCTCATCTGCATTGAAGACATCCACAGCAGCTTGGGTGCCGGAGCGCGCCCCGTCCCAGAGTTCTGCCTTGGGGTCCTTTTCCCGCACATATAAATGGAATATATGATTATCGCCAGAGCCGTCGTTCCCGATGATCGCCAGTGCATTCGGTTCGTTGAATCCTATCCGGCAGGCAAACTTAGCGGGTGTCCTCCGCAGCATCACCAGTCTCCCAAACAAACTTACCCGTTAGGTAGAAGAAATTGGAATCCTGGCGGTATTCGTTGAAGATGCCTTGCGCGCGGTACTTGACCTCCGAGGCAGCTAGCACCGCAATCGCGCCTTTGGGTAGCTTATTGGCGAGTTTCGATCGACGTTGCGCATATTCAAGGGCGGTGATTCCGGGCGTAACTAGACAAGAGATGATCAGCTAAATAAATAGGTCCAAGGCCACGGAGAATAACACACGTTCGCCTGGGCTGAGAATATGGGGATGGGTCTCATGCAGCGGCTGGCCGAATTTGAGTTCCGCGGCGGCCACCGAGGTAGCATAACTGCGAGACCGAGGGTTGCATCTAGGCAATTGGCGCAATGAACGAGTCAAAGGTCTGGATGAGCGCAGATGGACAGCGCATTGGCGAACAAGAGACCTGCATGCCGCCATGCTTCAAGGTCCAAAAATAAGTTGATAAGAGTAAACTGTCGGAGTTGTTGTTATCGCCAGGTTCACGGTCCAGTCGGCGGTGTGGGCCAATCACCTCGGCCGCGTTTGACATCGGAGACCCTTCTCTTGTCCACTCGTACCTATACCTTCGTATACAATATACATAATTCTTGATTTGATGGATCTTTGCACAGCCTGTCATCAAATATGCTCCGGTCTAGCCTTTGTTGGGTAATCTTGCGCGGATGGACCTGCTAGAAAGGGTGTTTAAAGGCGTGCCCTAGCTCATCAGGTCGCCTATCTTGACTCATCGTCCATCTACTTAAATACTTACTTCGACGTCGCTTACTTCTTTTGCTTCTCTTAACTTCAAATCGCATTCTACAGACTGCCACACACGTTATGGGACGAACCTTGACCTACCCCAAGAGGGTTTCCAACACCGCTAACCGGTACAAGCATCGAGGTACAAGATACATAAGTAACCATAGAATGTATGGAGGCCAACGCTAACACTCTATATATCCTAGCTACATATGACTTGGGTCCAATTCATTCAATCATCAATGACTCCCAAGTTCTCCATGTATCCTTCAACCCAGGGCCAGATGACCCATTCCCCGCAATCCTACCGATGATAGGACAAATGGGATCATTCGAGTTTCCCTCCGCGAGCATCGATGAGCCTTTAGAGTGCTACCTCCACGGCTACGTCAGCTCACGTATTATGAACCTAGCCCGCAACTGCAGCGATGGCGAAGGACTCCCAATCTGCGTGGCAACAAGCAAAGTAGACGGGCTGATCCTATCGCTCACGCCCAACTCGCACAGCTACAACTACCGCTCTGCAGTCCTACACGGCTATGCGACCCTCGTCACAGACGAGGAAGAAAAGCTCTGGGCCATGAAATTGATCACGAACTCTGTCCTCGCAGCCCGATGGGATCACTCGCGTGTGCCGCCGGACCGTGCTGAGATGCAGTCAACTGTCATCCTGAAGGTAAAGATCGTGGATGGCAGCGGCAAGATCCGTGATGGTGGTGTTTCGGATGAGCGTAAGGACTCGGGTAACGAACAGGTCACCGGCAGCGTCTGGACTGGTGTTGTTCCGGTCTGGGAAACGTTTGGGACCCCAATTCCGAGCGGTGATAGTAAGGTCGCTGAAGTGCCCGAGTATATCAATTCGTATATAGCCAGCAAGAACAGTCGGAACAAAGCTCTGGCGGAGAGTGCAGTGAAGGTTCCGCTGCCGTCTGAGGAACAACACTGAGGACTAGGTTGTTCATGGTACGAATTTACTTTTCAGTGACGCCTCACATTCGATTCAAATCGATTAACTCAATTAATAGAAAAGAGATAATTGCTTTCTTTTTGAGATGATTATAACCTGCTCGTTTTGGGTATGTATGTATCTTTCTTAGTCTTCCGCAGTGGCCTCCAGTGTATATATCGGAAAGGAGACCCCAAGAATACAATGCCTGGTGAGTCAAATCTCTATAGAGAGTGAAGCAAAATGTATGAATGGGTATATTCAAATAAAGCCGTTGAGTATATATAAGCATTGTACTATAGACTAGCATTCCACACAAGCAAGCTAGCAATGAGCAGACATACTTCCCCACCCTTCAGGATCGTCCTCAGAATCCGTAGACTCACTATCATATCCAGAGCCACCACGCCGAACAGTGGTCCGCCCGGCTGCCGCCAATCTCTTAGCGACCTCATTCGCCTCAAACAGACTGACAAGTCTTCGCTTTCCAGGCCGTTGCTGAGCTCGTTCCTGACAAACCCGAAGCATTTCCTTCTCTCGGTCGTACTTGAGCCTGCTACCAGGAATAAAGAATCGCGGAGCGCGCTGAAGTGCGCTCAGCCACTCAGGGTGGGTATTTGACGATCCCGGAGGACCGACAGGCGGCGCGGAGGTAGTCTTGTTGACCCAAGCGTCAACCGCCATTTCGAGAGGGGTCGTACCAGTGGCATTTTCCCGGTTGAGCATATCAGGACGACGATCGAGGAGTAGCCCAAGGACTTGGGGGAAGCCATTCTTGACTGCATCATGCAGTGGTGTATTTCCAGCTTCGTCAAAGACTTCCAGATGCTTTTGGTCCGTGGAGCTGGCTAGATCCAGAATGAGGTTCGTCATGGAAGTTATTATCTCATCTTCGGTCTGGGGAGTGTCAGGGGCCCGAGGGATGGCCGGATCCCCTGGAATGAAGGGAAGTTGGGCGTGAAGCCAGCGTGAAAACGGTGTTCTTGAGCCTTCGCCGCCGCGCTCCATGAGCATTGTTGGGAGGAGTTGCTTATCCAGCAGGTCTATGAGTCTTGTGCATCGGTTGGTGTGCTTGCAGACCCGACCACCGTCTGATACGAGGATGAGGTGGAGGAGATTGCGCGCCTCTTTGTCGCGGACGGCCTGGTTGGCTCCGGCATCTACCAAGATGCGGGCGAAGCGGACCTTGTGCATGGACATGGCAAGGGAGAGAGGCGTCATTCCTTCTGTCGATCGGACCTCCAGACATTCAGGGTGATGATCCACAAGATACTGAACCAGACGAACGGATTCGTCGTTTGGTTCGGACAAGATCGCGCAGTGGAGGACGAGGTTGTCTTTTTCTGGTCAGCTATTTTTGTCGAAATCCCTGAAGAGCTGGAACACTTACTTCTCGCTTGTAACCAGGTTAAGAGCGTCCCCTCGAGTCCGAGCTTGCACTGAGTCAACCGTTTAACTCTTTCATCATCTTTGTTCGCATTGAGGTACTCCAGGTAATAGCGAGCAGGCGCGGTACCAAGGAAGAACTCTGTACTGGCCAGATTACCCCGGCGAGCCGCAATAAGAAGGGGAGGACGCTGTGCCTGCGCTCCCATCGGTTGCTCTCGACCAGCATTAGCCCAATCGGCACGCTTGGCGCCACGGATCGACAACCCAGGGTAGTACTGAGGCTCTTTCTTCTCCTCAACGCCACAGTCCTTACTCAATTTCGTGAGAGGAAGGCCCGCTCCAGTGCTTTGAATCATTTTGGCAAGACAATCTGTACGTCCAAACGAAATCGCAAGCTCGAACTCGTCGAATTTTACCAAGAACTCGCCCTTTCCAGAGGGGTTTGTGGAAGCAAGGTCTAGTCCGGTCTTCAGAAGGAATTCCAAAAGAGGAATGTTGTTAGTGTAAACAGCGTATTTCAACAACCCGTTAACATTGACAGGGTTGTCTTTCTTGTCCCAATCCTCGTGCTCGTATTCGTCCAAAAACAAAAAGGCATCGAACCGTCGCTCGAAAGCAGCAAAAGGGGATGTATGGCTCTTGACCTGATTGCTAACTTCACCGATGTTTTCGTAGGTGAATATCTCATCAACCATGTCACTGATGATTTTCAGATCATCGTTCTCTCCATCAGAGTTATCAGAGTCGTCAGAGCATTGATCGACGTCGATCTCAAAGCGCTTCCGACCGCGAGGCTCCTTGACCTCGTACTGCACGTGGAGGATTTGAAGAATAGCCTTAGCGACGGCAAAGTGGCCCCGCATAATAGAAATTGTAAGGGCGGACAGGCCATGCATGTCGGTCACGGCGATCTCAAGTGGTGCTTGGTCATTGAGAGAGCCCCACATCCCCAGTGTCAAGGTTTTGATGGTATCAATGTCGCCATTCCAGGCTGCTTCAAAGCTGTTACATCAATATCAGCAGGATATTCTCCCAAGGTTGGATTGAGGGGGAAGAGAGGGGAGGCGGGAGGCCGGACACGTACAGTTGCAGATATCCGTCACGAGCGTTGTCAGTGATAGCTGGTACATTAAAGTTGAAGTTGGCTTTCCAAGGCTTAGGCGGGAGCGGTGTGTTCTTAGTCGAAACGTGGACTGGGGCCGGCACGGGAACGTTCTGTGGAGGATGAAGCTCGTCCCAGGTCTTTGCATCTTTTTGCAGCATAATGAACTCCAGCTTCTCGTAGTCGCGGACCAACTCCGCAATGAACGCCTTCTTCTCGACCAAGCCAGGAGGATCAGGCAGGATGGCTCTGGCCTTCTCAGCTTGTTGTTCGACCGCTCTGTTCGCCTTGCGCACGTTGCGGAGCAGGTCCTTTGCGGTGAACATTTTGTAACTACCGGGTTGGAACTCCGACAAATATGTCTCGTCACTTGGATCGAGGGGAGTTCCAATGGAATTGCCATGCCATTCGTGCTTGCGCTCGACCAAGAAATCACGGAGCGGTTGTAACGTTTGGCGCATGACGTCCAATAGCGTTCGACCCTTGCCTTGATATTTCCCCTTGATTACGGCGTTAGGGTTCGCCCCGCGATGAAGCAGATCAATAGCAAGCAAAGGAAGGTCATTCTCAATAGCCAGGAAGATCGGCTGCTTCACACTGGACTTTGCGGTGTCTTCAACGTCGTAGAAGGTCGTGCTTCCTCTAGATGCCGTAATGAGCTTCACAATGTCGCCGATGTCAATCTCAGGGTGGGCACCTGCACCCAAAAGCTTCGCTGCCGCGGGTGCATTCTTCGCTGTGATAGCGGCCATCAATGCCGAGGAGTATTCTGGTGTCCAGGTCGTGCCCTGAGCTGCCAAGTGATTGATTGCACGCTTTACTGCCGGCTCATCATGCTGCATGTAGATATCAAGAATGTCAAACTTGTTGGAATGAGCAAGGTAGTATAGCGGTGTCTTCTGCTTGAGGTCTGCTTGGGCTGGTGAAGCGCCGAGATCGAGAAGGGTCTGCGACATCTCCTTTGCTTTCTCAAATGGGAGGGCATGGATGAGAACAAGGTTGAGAATTGCAGCCAGGGGTGATTTGTTGTGCTCATTCAGGATTTTAACTGGCATCAGCACATCGGCACCAAAGGACGTGACAAGCTCTTTCACGGCCTCAGTGTGACCATGGAGAATGGCGAGATGCAAAGGAGCAGTCCGACTATCCCATGCAACGACATTGATATCGTAGATATCCGGCTCGAGGTCGTTCTCTTCGAGCATATCGTACGTGGTCAAGTCCTCCTCATCCTCCTCAGCTTCGACCTTGACATAAGAAGCAGAGGTGCGAGACACGGCATCAGTTTGGTCAATCATCTCGATGTCTTCATCTCCAGCTGTGCTAGGCTCGGTCTCTGACTTGTCGTTCTTTTTTAGCGTCTCCTGCTTCTTAGCTTCTTCTTCTTCATTCTGGTTGCTCTTTGCAAGTAGAATTCGAATGATCTCGGTGTGTCCCCGGGCCGCGGCAATGTGGAGAGCAGTCTTTCCATCAGCCATTCGGGGAATCATGCGGGCGCCGCCGTCAACAAGGCATTGAACGACTTCAGGGGTCGAGCACATGCACGCGAGTTGGAGTGGTGTCCGTCCAGTGTAGTCACGACGGTCCGGATTGGCACCCTCATCCGCAAGGAAAGCTTTAACAGAGTCAACATCGTTTGCTACAATTGCCTGGCAAAGTCTCTCGGTGCGGCCAACGTAAGCCATTTCTATCATGGTGGTATTAGTGCATAATTCAAAAATAACGAAACATTTCGAACAATTTACTCACCGGTCCAATCAGTCTCAGTGATCGGATTGAAACTTCCAATTTCCTGGCGACCAGGATCATCTTTGATGAAAGTAATTTGACCAGAGATATAAATCTTAGCCTCCTCGTCGGCCACCTCCACTTCCTCCTCAGTAACAGGCTTGGGGCAGAAGCCACAGCAATCGCCAATGACATGTTCCGCCTCGCCGAAGAATGCTGGGTGACGATGAAGATAAACTGTACGGTCTTCCGGCTGATTCCATTGGGCGTTCAGCAACAGATCCTTAGTGTAAAGTAGCTTCTCAATGTTCCTAGCGTTGAATCTCCTACCATAAGGAATATTCTATCAGAGGGTCAGTAAGACTGGAGGGGGCAGTAAGCTCGGTTGCAGTCAAGGTACGAACAAAGGTATGGTAATCAGACACTTGGTCTTGCTCTTGCCAATCAGGTACCTCATCTTCCCACTCATCCTTGAGGTTACCATGCAACATTTGACCAAGACGACCATGCAGGTACAAATTCAGAGGAGGACGACCTCGTTCTTCGCGCCTCTTTTGGAGGTAGTTGTCCCGGTCTTCAGCCCGAGGAAGCTTTTCCAATACCAGAAGTCGTGCAAGTCCTTCAGTTCTGGTAAAGCTTCTCTCGAAGATGGTCTATCATGCAAATTAATTTCGCTGAAATTTCATTCATATAGTCAAAGGATTCGCTTCTCACCGGGTCAATCTTCGATCTGTCCAGAGCCGGCCAGAAAACCTCGAATCCTCGGTGCGAATACTTGGAGAGACGGTTTTCATATGATGGTGATCGTCGAGTTAGGTCAATCTGATTCGCCTGCGTGATGTATGCAGCGATGGCGCGTGGAGAGGTATATACCTGGCGACCATCATAAGCCGCGCATGCAGCATCGACGTCAAAGCCGGTGAGAATCTCAGCGACTGAGCGGTAGATGCGAAGCACAATTTGCACATGGCGGTTCGGATACTGAGAAGCAATGGTAATTGTATTCTTGGTCCGGATAGTCGTGGTCTCGTAGAGGATAGTGTTCTTGATTTTATCCTCGATGTGCATGATCTTCTCCAGAGCCTGCTCCTCGGTCAGACCATACAAGAAGAGATCCACATCTGACGCCGGAGCAAACTCTTCATGGTAGTATTTGCGAAGGCCACGCTTTGAGTTGCGATATTTTTCTGGCACAGGCAAAAGTGAGGTCATGACAGCGCTACCAGCAGCGACCACGTTGGACCAGTCAATTTCACTTAACGAGCCCTCTGTGAAGAGCGCAAAGTTGTTCTTGAACTCATTCAAGGAGGGGACAACTGCCGCAGAACCATGTGGCTTCCGGTCTTTTGCATTTAGCGGCAAAAGATACTTCTCCGTTTGCTCTGGCGTTTCCGAGACAAGGTCCCGAGCTCGAATGGAAATATCTGTGGAACCGTTCTGGTCGTACAGCGGCACAATGTTGACGTGATTGTCTTGGATTGATGGGTGAGAGGGGTCTTGAGCAAATTTCTTGCGCAGAACGGCATCATAATCGTTATATGGCTGAACCAAGTTGGCCATGGGTTTCTCCGGGTTGGAGTTGACATACTTCACGAAGTCATTGTGCTTCACTGGGAGAGAAGGCAAAGAAGTCATGATATCGATTGTGCGAATGTAATATTGAGATAGGATATCGATTGAATAGCAAAATCAGGGGAACCCCGTCAAATATAAATAGAGTTGATGGGTTTCTTTGTTGATAAATCGTCTCCCACTTAGGGTTAGCGTCCAGGCATCCTTAGGCATCCTTAGGCAACAGATCCACTATTTCGACTTTTCAGCCAATGGCCTCCTTCCCCCACAACATCGATCAACACGCTTCGTTTGCACTTAGGCTTAGTAGTGGGCCTTATACGAGGGATATACCCCTAGTGGACCTTACAATATACGATGCTCGATGCTGTTATTTCATGGGCTTGTTTGATTAGTACCTAGTTAGGTTGTTAACTAGTTAACTAGCCCTGGAGCGATAATCCGATTATGTCAACCGGTGGAAGATCGGGACTTGAAGAGAGCTATTTCTGTACCTAGATAAGATATATAGAAGCGTGAAATAGCATGCCAAAAATTCTGACAAGCACGAGAACCATCCTAGGAAAATACACCAGTTCCCATCCAACTTGGAGTAACGTTTGATCTCTTGCTCGCCGCAGAAAACCAGGATCAGCCCAAATACCCAAAAAATGCACTCTAGAGGTAAGTTACGACTTAAAAAGCTATCGCTTCGGATGCGCTGATAGAATAGCAGGATAATAGCAAGGATGGGAATGCCATGGATCAAGAGAACGTTAAGAGAGCCTGATTTTGTGGAATGCCACGCAGCGGCCATATCCTCGCTGACACTGTCGTAAAGACATGGACCAATCTCACCACACAGACCGCTAAAGTCGTCCCGAGATGCCTCACGAAGGTCATTCTCACGGCCGAAACTCCACTTATTCGCGACTGAACTGGCATACGGAGGTGATACCTAGGTAAGTGATGTTTGTTTGTCAGCACTGTTGTCAAGTAACTTCGGATTTGGCTTGGTCCAGCATGTTTCGAAGGGTAGACGGCCATGGTGAAGAAGTGGCTTGTCGATGAACGAAGAGGCACTATGATCAGAGGATGGAAAAAGAGGGAAGAAGTTCGGAGAAATAATGTTGGAGTCATATTATATTGCTGACGACAGTCAAGTGTATCATATTGTCCCATGGGATATGCTCGTGGACCCGTGGATTCGGGTGTTCCCTTGGCGGCCCCTTTCTCGAAGAAGTTGAGTTGGATATAAATAGTTCTGCTAAGGACACGATATGACAACGGGTCCTCAATGATGGGATTGTAAGATGAGAAGTATATGCAATATCTACTCATTTTCTGTTTTTCTTTTCTCCAAAACCTACATGCTACATTCATACCCCGGACATATAGCTCACCTATAACCCTGGGCTCACCTATAACCCTTGAAGTGAAAATTGGACCCGCAAAGGCTATACTTAGAAAACTCCATTTCACAAATCAAGCCTTTCTTGGCACTTCTCCGCAGTCTATTCAACAGACTGAGAAGAGGGAGAAAATATTTACACAACCAGACAGAATACCAAAAAAAGACCACTAAAGAGACATATAAAAAGACTACCGGATAAGACTACTTGAGAAGACCACCAAGAATATTACGGCCACATAAGTGGCCGACTATTCTTGTATACTTAAAGAGGCACGTGAACAGAGAAGATGATGACCTGGGAAGATGTTGCTGCCGATGAACCAGTCGGTGGCTGCACGTGACCCGACCTAACCTAACTGGAGGGCAACAAAGCATGGCCCAGAGCTGGATCAATGAAAAGGTCATCCCTTTTAATCTAATATAAATTTCCTGACCATGCAAAGAATCCAAATCAAGTCAAAATCGAGCCATATGGTCAAAAGAAAAAGGCATGTAATCGCCCAGATGGACCCCTAATTCTTCCGTAACGGTAGTTGCAGCCCCTCTTTCTTGTTCTGTGTATCCTACTATTCCATGGCTGGGTAGTACGTACATAATGGATAATACCTAACCCACACTTCTATACTATAAGACAAGCGGCTCTCACTTTCTTCTCGATTTATATGGGAAATGCCATCAAAAGTATGTAGGATCGCTGCAAGATAGCAACCCAAAGATGTATAAATCATGTTCAATGGTGTTACTAGTTGGAATGTCTATCCTTGGCAAAAGTATCATATTAACTTGAACTAATAATCTTCTCAAGTGTACCTATGGACCTACATGAAGGTAGTATCCACCTATCCCAGTCATCGTCATGGCGCCGGGCTCGGCGCTGACTCATCGACTCATCATGCCCATCCATGGATCATTCCAAGGTTCACCAAGACCTCATTTTCCTCTCTTCCTTTTCGCCTCAGGTCTGAGAAGTGAAGCCTTCTCTGATATTTGTTCTTCTTACTTTGCTACCCTCTACTCACTGATCCTTATTCCTCTACTTCAACGTCCATCGTCTGCCCCGCTCATTACTTCCCCGCTCCGACGGGAATATCTGCTTGTGGTTCACGACATTTGACACTGCTGGGTCTGCTGTCTCTGTGAGAGCCCGCAGCTGATAATACTTGCATATCGGAAATCTTCCATCCTCATCCATACCGCCAATATGAGCAGCCCAAAGCGCAGAATCGAGACAGATGTAAGTGGTGTTGCGGATGGTCCGATAAGCCCCCAAAGTCGCCGGAGATGCTAATGACGGTTTTTTGTTCATTGTCCAGGTCATGAAGTATGCCGTGCAAGTCCAAAACATTAAAAATTCACAGCACTAACATTTGGCTAGGATGTACGACGAACAACCCCCCTCCCTTTCCATTTTGGCCGCCGCTTTCCCCAACCTTTTTGATCAGCCTCGGCGAGCATACTTGGTTGCCGGGAACTAGTCTGACAGTTTATCTAGGCTAATGAGTGACTATGAGGTGACACTGGTCAATGATAACAGTAAGTGGTGACCCTCTGTCAGCTATGGATCTATACGCTAACCCCGGAATCCAGTGTATGTACTCCATATACCCTACAATCGACCTTTGGAAGCTTTCTGATACCAATTACTACCAACAGGCAAGAATTCTACGTTCGTTTCAAGGGCCCGGAAGAGAGTATGTCTCGCTCATAATCCACCAGTATTACATCATACTAACCTTCCTAGCACCATTCACCGGAGGCCTCTGGAAAATCCACGTCGAATTGCCTGATCAGTACCCATACAAAAGCCCAAGCATCGGATTCGTCAACAGAATCTTCCACCCAAATATCGACGAGCTGTGAGTTAGGGGTCTCCGACATGTGTGAAAGAAACTCAAGAGGCTAATGCGACTTTTCTGCCATAGGTCGGGCTCGGTCTGCCTTGATGTGATCAACCAAACGTGGTCGCCGATGTACGATATGCTCAACATTTTCGAGGTCTTCCTTCCCCAGCTCCTTCGTTATCCCAACCCTTCGGACCCTCTCAACGGGGAGGCAGCAGCGCTGATGATGAGGGAACCCAAGGCATATGAGGCAAAGGTGAAAGGTGTGTTACAATACAAAGCCCTATGTCTGCTATTTGCCATACTGACAGCTCACCAGAATATGTTGCCAAATACGCTAGCAAAGAGGCCGTGGATGACGCAGGCGAGGATACGGAGTCTGAAGATGAGCTAAGCTCAGCGGGGAGCTACGAGTCAGGCGGCGAGGAGCCTGCAGGTACAATGGACGATGTCTGATGGTCTGCAGTGCGAACGTTTCCGTCAGGTTTAGGATTGACCCGGCACGAACATATTGCATCATCCTACTCTTCTATGTCCATCCCGGTACTGGATATCAGCGGGCGTTTTCTTTTTCTTTTTTCTGTCATAGGGGAGTTCTCATGTATCCATTTCTTTTTTCCCTGTCAATCCCCATCTTTGTTTTGTTCCCCCTTATTGTTGTCTATTTCCACCCAAGAGCATTCGATTCACCCAAGGGCATTTGCGATAATTATCGACGGAGTCACCGGTTGAACAATTGATACTGAATCTCTCATAGGTATGGGGAGTGATATTCTTTTTTTGCTTTTTCCCATGATATCTTAATTGTATAGTAAGGTCGAAATAGTTTCCATATAAAAACTATACTATCTAAACCTGAACTTACATGTATATATGGGTTGATATGTTGTACCATATATATTTCCCTTGGAAGGATTAGCAATTTCAGCGTCTACACACACCATTATCTGATCTACGGCAACTCACTTGATAATGGAATTTGAATTGCGCCTATGCGAAAAGAAAGGATGAAGTCCAGCACTTGAAAAAGAAAACTACATATACAAGTAGGGTGCACTGATAAGATGGTATGAAGACAAAGAAACAAACTCAGACAGTAACATAACACGCCAAAAGAAAAAAAAAAGAAAAGAAACCAACATGGGAAGAGGAGAGAGAAAAAAA